GGAGGGAGAGCGGTGAGGGAGGGAGAGCGGTGAGGGAGGGAGAGCGGTGAGGGAGGGAGAGCGGTGAGGGAGGGAGAGCGGTGAGGGGGGGAGAGCGGTGAGGGAGGGAGAGCGGTGAGGGAGGGAGAGCGGTGAGGGAGGGAGAGCGGTGAGGGAGGGAGAGCGGTGAGGGAGGAAGAGCGGTGAGGGAGGGACTCTGCCTCAAAACGAGTAACTGGTGTGGCGTATTAACATCGCCACTGGGGTGGATACAAGTCCCGGGCGAAGCCGGGTAGTACAGCTAGTATAATTTGGAAATTATATCTCATTGTCCGACTCTTCGAGACACTCCTTCTTCATACGCTATCCTCACTGCCTATGTAATATGCAATATTCAACAACTCAAAGGGCATACGCTCACAATCTTCATAAATCATCTTTTAAAACCTGGCCTCGCCCCTGGAAGAAATGCATGTGATTGTGTGTGTGTGTGCGTGCGGTCTCGTAATCTGGTGTTATCCATTCGCCCGTACGTCATTGTGACTTTTATAGATTCTGAAACGGACAAGTGCCTTGAAGGCATTCGCTTGGAATGCAGTCCATAGTGTTTAGGGACCGCACCTTTGCTCTTGCCGGCTTGAACCAGTCTGGCACTGCTTTTTCAAGCTGTTATCATTCAATATCCCACTCAAAAACTCACGTTTTTTAAGTTATAAATGATACTACATATATTTCTCACTTCAATTTCCTATAGACTCGTGATTAATTTGATTGCTATTTGTTCAGATAGGGCATGTAAAGGCACTCTATAGATTATCATTATGTTTTATTATTATTGGGAGCTCTGAGATGATGGATTTGTGCAAACTCTAGAGGATAGAGTTGTAGTAGATCAGTCAAAATGTGATGACAACATGGGGGAGGGTCTTAAGTGAAAGATCCTGCAAGGAATATTGGATGTGGGAGATTTTACTCAGGTGGATATATAGGGCTCGGCAGAATTCAGATATGGGAACAGTTTGTTCAGGTTTAATTATAATGTGAATATGTTGCACACTGTCTAGCAGTGCAATGTAAGACGTGAGCATTTCCACACTTAATATACATTCTTGGCTGAGTCTGGTCTTTTTAGAGAAGTCAATTAGATTATTTTTACATTTAACTTTAAAAAGGTCAGTACCAATCCGGTTGGTGCACCATTGGGGTCTGTCCTCAGGTCCTTCCTATTTTCAACAGAAGTCTTTCCGCTCGTCGATGTCACTAAGTTCCATCAATATGCTTATTTCCCACTGCTGCTTAATCCAGAACATTCGCAGGTTCCGCTTGTGTGCATTCAGGCTGAGGTTAAACATTTTTTGGGAGGATCAGGTGTGGTGGTTGCAGACGTCAGGATTCAGTTGTCTACTAATCTAAAGAGCCTCGGCATCATTATCGATACAGAATATGCCGTATGATCTCCAAATACGAAATATAATCAAGTCTTGCAAGTTTAATTCCATGGCTCTACAACACATTCGACTACCATTGAGTCATGACATAGCCAACACGGTGGCGTGTAGTATCGTATCGATGAGGTTAGATAATTGCAACTCTACTCTACGAGACGTCTGGCAAAAACATTATAAAGCTGCAGCCTGTACAACATTTGTTGGCACGTGTCGTGACGGGTACTGCAAGATCACACCACGTCCACCCAGTGCTCACCAATCTCCATTCGCTTTCAGTTGCTAAACGAATACATTATAAGTTTGCAGCCATTACACACAAAATGATTGCCACAAATGAACCACAATACCTTTCTAATCTCGTCAAGGATCATAAACCATCACGTGACCTCTGCTCATCCTTGCAGTGGATTTTGACTGGTCATCGAATAAAGATGGTCACCGCATCGCATGCGATCAGGTGCACGTCTTTGTCCATCTGGAATGCTCTTCCTTTCGGCATTAGGAAACTACTGGAGCTATGCAATTTTAAATCAAGATTGGAAACTAATTTCTTAAGAACTGCTTTGTGTTTAGTTTGTTGTCTTTCCCCCGAACCTATGATGAGCGTGGTTGGCTACATACGGTGCGAAATAAATGTAACGATTTACAACTATAGCTACAACAGCCCTTTGATAACCTACAACTCCTGCTTAATGCCTTAAAGTTAATTCTCAAATTTTCACTACGTTTCGGCCATAACGCAAGCAGCCGTTTAATTTTAATATTTTTATTTTTATTATTTTATTATTTCCCTTCTACGTGACTTTACCGAAAGAACCAAGAAGTTGAATCCCTGCAGTCACGAAAGCTTTAAATCGAAATTTAATTCTCAAAGATCAAATGTCGAGGCCCTGGCGACACACATGCTGGTGAGGTGAACTGCGGTGGTGGACTTGCGCACAAACATACACAAACATACTTTGACAAAATTATAGGGTGCAGCAAGTTGCTCAAGTTTACAGAAAAGTTAAAACGATGATGAGTTAAAGTAACCCAGTGTGAGTAAAGTTTTCAGTCATTCACGATATGCTGTCATACAGCCGAATACGCACATCAGGGAAACTGCAATGAGTGTTTGTCTCGAGTCAAACATTATAAATCCCAATGAATATACGTGTAAAGATTAACGCTTTTTAACTTTCAAAGGAAGTAATTTGATGCTTACACACATCTAAAAAGGGTTTTACGAGAAAATGTAAAGATGAAAATGAAATTAAATGTACAAATGCTGGTGATCACATATGCGAACAAAACACTTTAAAATGACCAACATCTGCCTACTTATGTACAAGAGTGCATGATAAAATGCACCTGTCAGGCAAAAGACTACGTTCTGAGACATTTGATGGAAGGCACCGGCATATTTAAGATTCTATGAAAGTCACAATGCAAGCAAAAATGTTTAAAAAACTGGATTTTTCACATCAGTCATGGTAGAACATGTTGACGCGTGATTATAAGGAGGAATGTATTGTAAAGGCAAGACTGGAGGGGTGAAATCTTTTTTACGCAATCTTAACAAAATAGCTTTAATAAATAATAATGGCATTGTAGATTATAAGCATGGCAAATGTCAAGAACATTTTAACATGATTCTGGACAAACCACGAATTCTGAGACAGCACACGCCCATCCATACACACATTCGCTACCACTTTAGAAAATAACAAAATGGAAAACTGGTATGCATGCATGGTGGCATCCATTTGTATAAACAAATTTTTTTTGTTATTAAAGCAGGACTGATATTTTTTCAATGTTATAAACCAAGCGTTCAGGAATATATGAACATAAATACCCTCAATTGTCTACATATGCAGATACTGATTGACAGGCTATGGTACAGACTTGTTTTATTTATGTTGAAAATCTTTTGCACCGTATGGAGCCAACCATGATCATCAGGGGTGGAAGCAGGGATGCTGCTGTTTAGGAGATAATTGTATGTTTTTAATCAGGCATGAAGAAATAGGGCAGTCCTCGGGTTACGAACATCATTCATTCCTGTGACCCGTCCATAAATCGAACGGTTCATGAGTCAGAACACATTAATCAACAATTTTTAAATATGGTCAGTGTTAAGAAATGTGCTAAGGTTCAACAAAAAGGGAAGAACTGTCAAACTCACAATTAAGAATATGGTACTTTTTCATGTAACACTATACAAAATACTGTCTTATAAATCAAATAAAACATGAAATAAAGTAACATAAAACACTTTTATTTCCATAATACCTTGAGTCCTGATAATAGTCAAAAGGGGGGCAATGAGTTACCACAATTGCAGACACCCACACACACACAGACAGAAATACCCACACACACAGACACACACAGACAGAGACACACACACAGACAGACACACACACTTATAGATTTGAAGCTTTCGTGACTGCAAGGATTCATACTCTTAGTTCTTTCGGTAAAGTCACGTAGGTAAAAAATTACATTAAAATTAATAAAATTAAAACAATAAAATCACGACGTTTCGGAGGCAACACAAGTCTCCGTCATCAGGTGGGACCGTCACAGCCAGATTATCTGGCTGTGACGGTCCCAGATTATCTGGCTGTGACGGTCATTTTTTCCTACGTGACTTTACCGAAAGACACACACACATCACGACGACAATGATTCCCCGTGTAGCCTGAACAGGCTATAGGGGCAAGTGCTGTTAGTGAGCAGCGCCTCTGAAGGCCGGCACGGCACACGAGGGAGTGGGTGGCCAACACCACACCCGGCCCCCTTTGTCTCCCCAGTGGCGATGTTTACACACCATATCCGGGCACTGATGTTAGTCGTGAGCGCAGTGCGCTCACCGCTACACTACCGCTCCCCAAACACAAATAACAATATCCGCCATTCGCCACAAAGTGACGGCGACGTCACTACGGCGCCTGTGCCAGGCTAGGTGCACTTTAAGGCTCTAAATGTGGGGTTGGCTGTTTTGCTTTCTTCTGAAACAGTGGGATGCTTTCCAAGCAAGAAAAGCTCACGAAAATTTGTATTTGAGACAAAAAAATCTGAAATGCTGGATATGATCAGCACATCGAGACCAGTCTGTAGTTTGACTGCTTACAAATGCCGCTTGGTGATTGATGTTCGCATGGAAAAATCAACGGTCAATGGACTAAACTATTTTTCTATTTATATGTGGATATATAATGGAGTTCTGCTTATTTGTCCTTTCGCCCATGATGCTCCACATATATGCATACCAAGTTCGTGTACGATTTAAGTTTTAGTGCATTGAGAGCCTTAGTATCATTTGGAAATTATATCTCATTGCCCGACTCCTCAAGACACTCATTCTTCATACGTTATCCTCACTGCCTAGGTAATATGCAATATTTAACAACTCGAAAGGCATACGCTCACAATCTTTATTTCACGTCCACACACGCGGTCTGTCTCTCACACACAGGCACACACACGCCCATTCGTTGTTATCAAGCACTGGGTGGAGTCTGGGAAGCTCTACCTTTTGTGACTCTGGATATAAAGCCGGGGTGAATCCAGAGAGCAGAAGAAACGGAGCGAATGACTTGCGCTCTACGGCTTTCCATCACCTGAACATCGTGAGTATTATAAGAGATGCAAGTCGGCTGCACATTAGCCAGTAATAGGCTAAAACTATTGAAATCAGTTACAGGTAAATTATGTACGGTATATATGTTAGAACGTACATTGTATAGACTATGTGTGGTTAATATAGGCTGGGTATTGTAAATCAAATATGTTAACAGGCTACGTTTAGAAAATAATACCATATTAAACTGCATGTTAATGTCTAATGGGTTAGCGATGTTAAATAGGTTGAACACATGGCCCTGTAATATCGGACTGCATGCAAACACACCAAAATAGTGAAATATTATAAGTTATTACAGTCTAGGCAACAAAAAAATTACGTTTTAAAAATATGTCAAACATTAATCTTGCCTGAACACTTGCACTTACGCGAACCTTGATGTTGGTTTGTAATACTAGCCATAGCCGAAAAACAACATTAGCCCCTTCGCAATGTTTGCGACTCCCTTAATAGTATTTATTTATCAAACGCATTATCTATTGATATGCCAATCACAGTGCATACTACCTGCTTTGACAGTGTTCGGACATGTGGTCATTAACGAAAAATATAGAACAATAACTCGGGGTATAAAAATAGTTTTTACTCTTTGTGGCAATAAAAGAGGTGTTAAGATGTTAAAACACTAAACTATAATCTTTTCAAGGATTCATGTCTGCATTAACCACGTACACGTGTGGTGATCAAATTAAGCTTCAGTTTAAAAACAGGACACAATCTAAACACCAAAGTATGCAAGTGAGGTGTGTATGTGTACGTAAATAATTGCACATACAAATGACGTGGTGTAGACTAAGGTTGCCGCTAATCATTACAGGTTTCTCTCACTTTATGCGGGTTCGGTTTGTGTAATATCATGTATATTGGACGAATGCATTTCTACCCAAAATTCGCTATATGCAATTTAAATTCACTCATATACGGCTTCGTGATCGGACGTGGGACACCATTGTGTGTGTGTGTACTCTATGAACTGTTTGGCAGGTAAGCTGCCCTGTGTGGTTTCGGTTTGTGTGCAATTTTTCTTGGAACACATCTACAACCACAAATCGAGGGAAACCTGTATGTGTTGCACTTGAGTCTGCGCCCTTTCCAATGAATGTGCAGTATGTAACAAAACATTCCATCGCACGACAGTGGCATTAAAGAGCTGTATAAGACGACCTCGCCACTAGGGTGCTCTCATTAACAATTTTCTTCTACCACGTAACTTATTGCAATACTACAGGCGCAGTCCTTGGCTCTGCAAGCGGCCCAAAACCAAACGAAAAAACGTAATAGAATCATTCTCGTGACACTTAGTGAGCCTCAACAGGAACTAAACTCTGTTGCCAGTCACGAGGGCAAGTCCCGGAGTCTGCCCGTGCCGAATTAACAAATATTATTGCGTGCTGTTTATATGTAACTAGCGGTTAGTACTCGGCGTTACCCGGGCGAAAAAGGCAGACACATGTAGTTACACACGCAAATCGACTGACACACACACGTAGAGTTACACACACAAATGGACTCACACATACATACATACATCGACTGAACAACAACAACCACCATTGGCCACTAAGTGGTGGTGATGTCACGACAACGCTTGTGCCAGGCCATGTGCACCTTGAGGCCACGTGAAGTGTCAAACGCCCGCTGGCAGGAGGTGACGGGGCAAACCCAGATGGCACAGGTCGACTGACTGAGTCGACTGGCTGATGCACCACCTGTGGCCCCTACTGTGCCAACTTGCTGTGCTTTAGCCACCCGGCGCTCCGCTCGTTGTTGTGAGCGGCGCTCCTCCGCCTTTCGTTGTTGTTGGAGGGCGACTGCCTCCAACTGCCCAGTAGCATCCTTCAGGAGCCTCCTCCACAGAGGCCGATTTTGACAGGGCTGGTACCAGTCATCCGCAAGTGGAATCAGCTCCAAGTCCTCCTGTACCACATTACTCCATGTCTTCTCCAGCCCGTGCCACGCCCGTTTAGCCCCTCGATCCGGTCGAACAAAAGCTGTTTAGGCATGCGGTGGGTGACCATGCGGGCTACATGACTCAGGCAACGCAGCCTTGCCTGCCGGAGGAGGTCACCGATGGGATTTTGTCCACATCTTTAAAGGATTTGTGAGCTCACACAATGCAGCCTGGTTAAACCCAGGATGGATCGTAGGCAGGCCATCCTAAATGTTCTAACCGGCGAAGATGTTCCATTCGGGGGGTCCAAGTTTCACAAGCGTAGAGAAGGGAAGGAATGACCGTGGCCGAGAAGACCTGAAGCTTCCTGCGGAGTGATAGACCAGGTAAATTCCACACAGCATTACGCAGCCAATGAAAAGATAATGCGGCTCGACTGATTCGGAGTGAGACCTCTGCTGTTAAACCGGAGCCGGTCATTAGCACACTGGCAAGGTATGGGAAATTCTGCACTGTCTCCACAACTGCCCCATCACCAATTGGGAGTTGTGGGGGTGGAGTGTCCGATGGTACAAAATAGGCAGGCAGGTGCTTAGTTTTGGTGGGGCCGATGGTAAGGTCCCACCTCTTAGTGGCAAGCTCCAGGTTCAGCAGCAGCACCTCGGACTCCTCCTCCGAGTGAGCAGCAAGTAGCAGATCATCGGCATACATAACGTGGTTGAGCAATAGGGAGGCATCCCTCGACCGCACCCGGGCATCGATCAACCTCCCATTGTATGTGTACCATATGGTAATTCCTCCGGTACAGCCATTGAAAGCTTCACGAACTACGTGGTCAAAAGATATGTTAAATAATGTGTGAGCCAGAGGATATCCCTGTCACACCCCAAGGTGTAGAGGGAATGGCTCTGACTGACAGCCACATAGTTTGACGAGTGGCCGCTCACCATCATGAAGGTCCTTAAGGATCGTGAGCAAAGGGCGAGGGACTCAGAAAGTACGAAGAACAACCCAGAGCCCAGGCTTACTGATGGTATCATAGGCCTTGAGCAGGTCAATAAAGCACACAGATGGACTAAGACGCACACATGGACCTACAGACACGCGAAAAAATGGACTTACACTGACTAACATGGAGGCATGCACACAGCGACTAACACACACGCACATGGACTGAGACACACACACACACATATCGACTCACACACGAACACATCGACTCACACACACATGGACTCACACACACATAGACATCCACTTGAGATACACACACATGGAGTTACACACACATATCGACGTATACACATACAGCGACTCACACACATACATCAACTCACAAACAGATATACGTGGACTCATTAACACATTGACGTAAACACACATGTACTTACACACACACATATGAACTACGACACACACACATGAACTTACACATACATAGACTGACCCACACATTGCCCTACACACACATACACATATGGACTGTGACACACAGACATGTACTTTAGATACACATGGATTAACAGGCACATAGACTCACACACACGCATTGACTTACACACACACATCGAGTGACACACACACATGTATAGACTTACACACACATGTGGACTAACACACACACAGCGACTGATATGCACACAAATGGACTGACATACACACACATGGGGCGTTGTCCGTTTGAAAAAGACAAACACACACATGGACTTACACACAGACATGGACCCACACACGTAGAAACCCATCGATTTACACCCACACAAACACACAGACATCGACTTTAGGGACACACATGTAGTTTCTGCACAAGAACATTATAATTGTAATATTTGTAAACTTATTTGTTTAATAATAGTAAGCAATAAACGTCAGTTCTTAGCAAAAAATGCAATAAAATTGTACTTTACATTGGCGTGGTGACGCCTCGTCCCATGTAGAGCCCGCGGCCTCGCCTAGATTGGCAAGCCAGAGGAGGTGAGACATTGCCAGGCTACTGGTTGGGCCGCTACTCCCGCCCCCCCCCCACCATCCCCCCGTCCGAGGCAGAATAATACTATGTAAGCGCTTTAAGAATATTAAGTTAATATCTAAGAACTTTATAGCAGTAACTGTACGCATTGGGGTGGTGGGGGGGAAGAGAAATCGGCAGCGTGATGTGGATATTTATTCCATGTTAAACGCGTAAAAGGAAATGTCCCCCGTGAGCTGCAGCGAACGCGCTTCACTTGGCAGGCTCCGCCCCCCCCACGCAATTGGCGTCAGTTGCTACGGTCGACGGCGTACAATAAGTAAATAATTAATAATAGAAACGGCACAAATTTGTTAATTAAACTACTTTAACGTTTACGGATGGGAAAACGGAATAGCCTATTCCCACCGCGGGGCTTGGGGTGTGCCGCCTGGTAAATCTTTTTCTACGTGAAGGCCACCGTCCGAGAGCCAAATCCCCCGAAAGCACGAGCGCGTGGAGACTTTTATATATAAGAAAGAAAAAGAAGAAGATTTCTAGCTAATGTGATTAATTACCTAGTATACATTACGGCCCGACATTCTCCTCCCACCTTTGCACACGTGGTGCATCCATCGGGTCAGCCTGAGATCATCCCTGGTTCTGGCTCCACAGACATCCTGGCACTTGATGTCATAACCCCTATCAAACTACTCCCTTTGGAGGTCATCCCACGATATGTGTGAGCACAGACACACTTAATTGCCCCTAGGTGTTGTGTGTGTCTGTAGCCATGTTTATTGTGAAACGGCTTTCCTCCCTCGTTAGGTCGACTCATCCTTAAAATTAATTCCTGCTGCAGCATGCAATGACAGTCACTGGGAAGACAAAGACGGTTGGCAGGCTCTGGTTATACCCCTGGAATGCATGCAATTCTTGTCGTGGAGAATATACGTTATTCGTATTACGTATATTTTCTGAATGATCCTTTGGTTCAAGACTTCAATACAAAACTTCCATACGTCATTATCAAGTTGATATGCTTAACCCAGATCTCATGGCACTTATGTATTTGTAACGGGTTCCGGAGACACTTGTAGAGGTAACTTCTTTATTACATTCCAACCAACAGTCCAACAGTCCTGAT